AGTACCCCTGAAAACCCCAACCCCAAAAAAAAGGAAGTGTGCAACAGTTGGGTATCTTTATTGATGAAAGTTTCGCCTACATAACAGAATTCTTCAGTCAAATACAAAGGCAGCAGTAGAAATGAAACAGAGATGATGTAGTCAGTCCATCAACCTTGAAGAAAAAGTGTTGTGTTATCCCAGGTTCTCTACACATGCTGCTATGTATGATAATTCTATGTAACTTTGTGTATACCTGAATAAACTTACTTACAAGGTTGATGAATGACGCCCCTCAAGGAAGGTTCCTTGATGCTGGTGAGAGGCTCTTGATCTAGGAAACTGGATCTGTGCTCCAGTTTCCTAAATTAACCCTGAATACCTTCCATTTCCCCCCCCCCCCCAACAGGCGCTGTATAATCATACGGGTTTAGCGCTTCCCCTTTATAATGATAATAATAATAATGGATGACTACATCTCTGTTTCACTTCAACTGCTGCCTTTGTATTTGAAGAAGTCTACTGTGTAGGCGAAATGTTGAATCAATAAAGATACCCAACTGTTGCACCTGTGTCTTAATCTTTAACTTGTGGGTATTTTCTAGCATTTTGAGCAGCAACAGTGTCCATCATACAGGTGTGTCAGGTGAACACCAAAGTTTTCATCAAATAATGACATTTATGAGTGACATGTGTCCCAAATTTCGCCCCAAATGACATTTTCACTTAGCTTTTTTTTTCTTCTGATTTATGCCCCTGTGCAATACCCCCTCATTGGTAAATATTGTTTTCTGCTGAACTTCTATTATTGTGCTGATGACTTAGACAAAGTTAGTTCTAGCTTGTTTGTTTTTGTGTACAGGTCCACATAAGTACAGTTATTATATATAGTAAAATATCCGTATGTAAGTTACCTTGGATAAGCCAGAAAAGTAATATGTCCACCACGTTAAGAATCTAGGGAGATGACAGCCTAAATGACCCCAGTGTGGTCACTAGATAATAAGTTGAACTAATTACATAGCATATTAGCAGCCAACTGTACTAATTTATAGATAAATACGTAATTAAATATTAGTGACAGTATAGATTATGGTACAATTAGGCTATCCACTAAGCTATTTAGTCATAATAAGACTGTGGCCCAAGACTTGGCTCCCAACTCGTTATAATAACAATAATAATATCTTTATTTACTACAAGTACATGTACAAGGTATACAGTCCTAGCTGAGATCAATGATTTACTACTATATAGAAAGCCGCTTGTTATGCTGAGCATTTCCCACAAAATAGGTCAGTTTTGTCCCAGGATGCGACCCACACCAGTCCACTAACACCCAGGTACCCATTTTACTGATAGGAAACATAGACAACCGGTGTAAAGAAACACATCCAATGTTTCTACCCTTGCTGGGAATCAAACCCAGACCCTTGCCATGCGAAGCGAGAGCTTTAGCCACTCTTCCACAGGGCACCGCACAAGATCAAGTTAATAGTCACAGTCAAAACACACAAGTGAAACTGCTTTAATTCGGTATATCATGACTAGATGTAAATATTCTAGGATTTAGTAAGCTTATGCTAGATAAGAACTTCTCAATGAGAACATAGCATTTTGAGTGAATGGTATTATTTTATATTGCCTAAAATACATACGTGGTCTGGTGGCAAAAGATCTCACTTCACACAGTGAGGGTCTGGGTTCAATTCCCGGTGAAGGGGTGGAAACATTGGACATGTTTCCTTACACCAGTTGTCTATGTTCACCCATCAGTAAAATGGTTACCTGGGTGTTAGTCGACTGGTGTGGGTTGCATCCTGGGACAAAACTGACCTAATTTGCATGAAATGCTCTGCATAACAAAGGGCCTGCTGTAAACAGTGGTACCTTGACTTAGGAATTTAATTCGTTCTGTGACCAAGCTCGTACTTCAATTTGCTAGTACAGTGGACCCCCGATTTTATTATATACTTTTTATAATTGCCCTATTCTATTTTAGACTTTATCACCCAACTTTATTTTACTTTTCTTAACCTTTTGTTACCAAATTTTTAAGCTTGTATATTATCCTGTGTACCATCTTACTATCATTTTATTTTTTTATTTGTTATTATTCTTTTGCTACCTTAACTTGTGTATTTTTTCTTGTCAACTTAAATTTAGTTATACTCCGGTTCTTGTTATCAACTTGGAGTGGTTGCATTAGCCAATTCAGTTGAGAGGGTAATTGATGACTTGTCTAGGAATTTAAACTGATTGATTATAGAGGTATGGGTGTTTGTGGGAAACAATCAGGCTGCAGCATTAGGGTTAAAAACAGCAGTTATTACCGGGATACCTCAGGGATATGTTTAAAAGACAATATTCAAAATAAAGTTGCTAGTAATGGCAAATCAATTGATCAACAAACAAAGAGAGATAGTAGAGGGCAACGAGTGACTAGCTCCTTTAAGGTTTACTATACAAATAGTAGGAGTCTAAGAAATAAAATAGATGAGCTAAGATTACTTGGAAGTGTAGGTAATATAGATATTATTGCTATAACAGAGACCTGGTTCAACCTGAAAGATAGAGAAATGCCTTCTGAATGCAACATACAGGGTTATAAACTATTCCACACTAATAGGGACAATAGGAAGGGTGGTGGAGTGGCAATGTATGTCAGAGAAAATTTAAATTGTTGTCTTAGACATGATATAAGATTAGAAACATCGAACACAGAATCTGTTTAGCTACAGTTTCTCGAGGGATGTGACAAATTAATTTTGGGTGTGATTTATAGGCCCCCAAACCTTGATAGGGAATGCAGTAAGCTGTTATGGGACGAAATTCATAAGGCATCTAGATATGAAAATGTTGTGATAATGGGAGATTTTAACTTTAGACTTGAGTCCTGGTGGCTAAAGCTCCCACTTCACACACGGAGGGCCCGGGTTCGATTCCCGGCGGGTGGAAACATTTCAACACGTTTCCTTACACCTATTGTCCTGTTCACCTAGCAGCAAATAGGTACCTGGGTGTTAGTCGACTGGAGTGGGTCGCATCCTGGGGGACAAGATTGAGGACCCCAATGGAAATAAGTTAGACAGTCTTCGATGACGCACTGACTTTCGTGGGTTATCCTGGGTGGGTAGCCCTCCGAGGTTAAAAATCTGAACGAAATCTTATCTTATCTTATCTTACAGTGCCTGCACTCTGAAGGAGGGGTGTTAATGTTGCAGTTTAAAAACTGTAGTGTAAAGCACCCTTCTGGCAAGACAGTGATGGAGTGAATGATGGTGAAAGTTTTTCTTTTTCGGGCCACCCTGCCTTGGTGGGAATCGGCCAGTGTGTTAATGAAAAAAAAAACTATGACAGGAAATCTTGAGTCTAGTGACTTTCTTGATACGGTTCAGGATTGCTTTTTAGAACAGGCTGTGACAGAACCAACTAGAGGAAATAGTCTGCTTGACTTGGTTCTTGCCAACAAAGATTCACTAATTAATAATCTTGAGGTTAATGATGAGTTTGGGGAAAGTGATCACAAATCACTTAGTTTCAATATATCATGGAATTACCCAGATAACAGCAATCAAATCTCTGTCCCAGATTTTCGCTTGGCCGACTTCATGGGACTGAAAAATTACCTGGGTAAGCTAAATTGGGATGTCCTGACTATGGGTCAGGTAGGTGATCATGGTTGCCAATATGACGTTTTCAGAGCATAGTTTCAAGCTGCCCAGACAACTTTTGTTCCAAGTAGGGAAATTAGATCTAACAAAAATGATCCCAAATGGATGGACAATAGATTAAAACATCTCATTGGTCAAAAGAGAGACATATATAGGCGATCAAAAGAGGGATGGGCAGTTAAGAAATCAATATATTCAATTAAAGAGGAATAAAGAAAGGAAAAAGAAAAGCAAAAAGGGATTATGAGGCTAAGTCAAAAGGGGATTCAAAGACTAGCCCAAAAGGGTTCTTTCAGGTATACATAAGTAAGATTAGGGACAAGATTGGCCCACTTAAGAGTAACTCTGGTCAGATCACTGACAGTGATAAGGATGTGTGTGAAATTCTCAATACCTACTTCCTCTCAGTTTTCCAAAACCCCGGAATATACCAGCGATATTCCTGAAATAATAGATTATGTAGAACAGGATAATAAACCCGTGTACGATTGCGGCAAAATAGTGACATGGTCCTCAGACAAATAGAGAAACTAAAACCTAACAAATCCCAGGCCCTGATGAACTGTTTGCTAGGGTGTTAAAGCAATGTAAAGAGGAACTTAGCATACCTTTGGCTAATCTTTTTAACATATCACTACAAACTGGCATAGTGCCTGATAAGTGGAAAATGGCAAATGTAATACTTATTTACAAGGCAGGTGACAGGTCCTTGGCTTCGAACTATAGACCAATAAGCCTTACCTCCATATTGGGAAAATTTATGGAATCAGTAATTGCTGAAGCAATTCGTAGCCATCTTGATAGGCACAGATTGATTAATGAATCTCAACACGGTTTTACAAAGGGGTGTTCCTGTCTTACGAATTTATTAACTTTTTTCACTAAGATGTTTGAGAAGGTAATGAATATGATATTTTGTATATGGACTTCAGTAAGGTTTTCGATAGAGTTCCACACCAGAGGCTATTGGGGAAACTTAAGGCACACAGAATAGGAGGAGAAAATTTTTTCCTGGGTAGAGGCATGGCTGACAAATAGACAGCAGAGAGTTTGCATAAATGGGGAGAAATCAGAATGGGAGCACGTCACAAGCGGTGTTCCTCAGGGGTCAGTGTTGGGCCCGTTGTTGTTCACAATATACATAAACGACATAGATGAGGGAATAAATAGTGACATAAGCAAATTTGCTGATGGCACCAAAATAGGCCGTCCAATTCATTCTAATGAGGACACTAGAGCACTCCATGATAATTTGAATAGACTGATGCAATGGCCGGAGAAGTGGCAGATGCAGTTTAATATTTACAAATGCAAAGTTCTAAAAAGTTGGACAGTTAAATAACCATGCCACATATAAACTAAATAATGTAGAAACTTAATACTACTGATTGCGAAAAGGATTAGAGTTTTTGGTTAGCAGTAATCTAAAACCAAGACAACAGGCATTAAATGTTTGCAAAAGCTAACAGAATTCTGGCTCATATCTAGAAGTATAAATAATAGAAGTTCTCAGGTTTTCTCAACTCTATATATCTTGGTTAGGCCTCATTTAGATATGCGCTCAGTTCGGTCACCTATTATGGAATGGATATTTAAAAGCTCTGGAAAGACAGAGGGAAAATGACAAAGTGATCCCATGTATCAGAAATCTCCCCTGAGGATAGTCTGAGGGCCCCCGATCTGCACTCTCTCGAAAGACGTAGAATTAGGGGGGATATGACCCAGGTGTATAATGGAAATACGGGAATAAATAAAGGGATGTGAAAAAGCGTGCTGAAAATTCCAGCCAAGACAGGACTCGCGCAAAGGTTTCAAGTTGGAAAAATTCAGATTTCAGGAAGGTAAGGAAAGCACTGGTTTGGTAACAGAGTCGTGGATGAGTGGAACAAACCCTCGAGTACAGTTATTCAGGCTAAAACGTTGTGTAGTTTTAAAAATAGTTAATAAATACATGAGTGGGTGT